TGATGAACAGGAGGAAAAATTGAGATGATATGTTCGATTCTCAGCAGATAAAAGACAAAAAGAAAGTGCAAGAAACAGACTGCGACAGACAAAAACAGACAGGAACAGGCATAGACAGACAGAGATAGATAGAGACCCACAGAAGCCACCCCAATAAACCCCTGCCAGGTGAGGGTTGTTAGATTTTATGTCAGATGCGCAGCTTCTCCTCCTCCTCTTTCTTCTCGTTCTCCTCGCCGGACCTCATCTGCCAGCTCTTGCATGCAGTGATCTTCGCCGGACTTCAACCGGCGAGATTCGGCGCGCCGTGGGCCTCGCCGGACTTCAACCGGACCTCAACGGCCAGAAACAAAGCCATATCGCATGCCAAAGAGAATGCCAGAAAGAATGCCAGATAGAATGTCAGAAGATATGCCAGATAGAATGTCAGAAGATTTCCCAGATAGCATGTCAGAAGATTTGCCAGATAGCATGTCAGAAGATCTGCCAGATAGCATGTCAGAAGATCTGCCAGATAGATATGCCAGATAGAATGTCAGAAGATATGACAGACAAAATGTCAGAAGATATGCCAGATAGAATGTAAGAAGATATGCCAGATAGAATGTCAGAAGATATGCCAGATAGAATGTCAGAAGATATGCCAGATAGAATGTCAGAAGATATGCCAGATAGAATGTCAGAAGATTTGCCAGATAGAATGTCAGAAGATATTCCAGATAGAATGTCAGAAGATCTGCCAGATAGATATGCCAGATAGAATGTCAGAAGATATGACAGACAAAATGTCAGAAGATATGCCAGATAGAATGTCAGAAGATATGCCAGATAGAATGTCAGAAGATTTGCCAGATAGCATGTCAGAAGATCTGCCAGATAGCATGTCAGAAGATCTGCCAGATAGAATGTCAGAAGATATGCCAGATAGAATGTCAGAAGATATGCCAGATAGAATGTCAGAAGATATGCCAGATAGAATGTCGGAAGATTTGCCAGATAGAATGTCAGAAGATATTCCAGATAGAATGTCAGAAGATATGCCAGATAGAATGTCAGAAGCTATGCCAGATAGAATGTCAGAAGATTTCCCAGATAGCATGTCAGAAGATCTGCCAGATAGCATGCCAGAAGATCTGCCAGATAGATATGCCAGATAGAATGTCTCAAGATATGCCAGATAGAATGTCAGAAGATATGCCAGATAGAATGTCAGAAGATATGCCAGATAGAATGTCAGGAGATTTGCCAGATAGCATGTCAGAAGATCTGCCAGATAGCATGTCAGAAGATCTGCCAGATAGATATGCCAGATAGCATGTCAGAAGATTTGCCAGGTTGCATGTCAGAAGATCTGCCAGATAGCATGTCAGAAGATCTGCCAGATAGATATGCCAGATAGAATGTCAGAAGATATGACAGACAAAATGTCAGAAGATATGCCAGATAGAATGTCAGAAGATATGCCAGGTAGACTGTCAGAAGATTTGCCAGATAGCATGTCAGAAGATCTGCCAGATAGATATGCCAGATAGAATGTCAGAAGATATTCCAGATAGAATGTCAGAAGATATGAAAGACAAAATGTCAGAAGATATGCCAGATAAAATGTCAGAAGATATGCCACATAGAATGCCAGATAGAATGTCAGAAGATATGCCAGATAGAATGTCAGAAGATATGCCAGATAGCATGTCAGAAGATCTGCCAGATAGAATGTCAGAAGATATTCCAGATAGAATGTCAGAAGATATGACAGACAAAATGTCAGAAGATATGCCAGATAGAATGTCAGAAGATATTCCAGATAGAATGCCAGATATACTGTCGGAAGATATGCCAGATAGAATTTCAGAAGATATTCCAGATAGAATCTCAGAAGATATGACAGATAGAATGTCAGAAGATATGCCACATAGAATGCCAGATAGAATGTCAGAAGATATTCCAGATAGAATGTCAGAAGATATGACAGACAAAATGTCAGAAGATATGCCAGATAGAATGTCAGAAGGTATTCCAGATAGAATGTCAAAAGATATGACAGACAAAATGTCAAAAGATATGCCAGATAGAATGTCAAAAGATATTCCAGATAGAATGCCAGATAGAATGTCGGAAGATATGCCAGATAGAATGTCAGAAGATATTCCAGATAGAATGTCAGGAGATATGCCAGATAGAATGGCAGAAGATATGACAGATAGAATGCCAGAAGATATGCCAGATAGAATCTCAAACAGAATGCTAAATAGAATGCCAGAAGATTTGCCAGATAGAATGTCAGATGGGATAGATAGAATGTCGGAAGATATGCCAGATAGAATGTCAGAAGATATTCCAGATAGAATGTCAGGAGATATGCCAGATAGAATGGCAGAAGATATGACAGATAGAATGCCAGAAGATATGCCAGATAGAATCTCAAACAGAATGCCAAATAGAATGCCAGAAGATTTGCCAGATAGAATGTCAGATGGGATGAATTGGATGCCATGGTGGGGATCACTCAAAGCAAAGTATTTTTTTTTGCAGAATGGATTGAATGGTTTGATTGAAAAAGTTTGACATGCTGTTGAGCAGGGCATGACTAGTGTCGCATGAAAACGAAATAGTCTTGTTGATGTCAGACGAATTTATCAACATTAGAGGCCCTTACTGTTGATAAATTTCTTGCCGCGCATTGCCCACTATCATTTCCCCTTTCCGAGACGCGTTTTTCGTTTGGCCCTGTTGGCCGGCTAGATGCTCAGAGTGGAAGATGTCGATTGGAAGCTGTCGTTTCTTGTGCTGAATGGCTTGATTGAAAATGCTTGAAGTGTTGTTGAGCAGGGTCTGACTAGTTTCGCATGACAACGAACAGTCTTATTGATGTCAGATGAATTCATCAACATTAGAGGCCCTTACTGTTGATAAATTTCTTTCTGCGTATCGCCCACTATGACCCACTATCATTTCCCCTTTCCAAGGCGCATTTTTTTCGTTTGTGTTCACGGCCCTGTTGGACGGCTAGATGCTCAGAGTGGAAGATGTCGATTGGAAGCTGTTGTTTCTTTTGCTGAACGGTTTGATTGAAAATGCTTGAAGTGTTGTTGAGCAGGGCATGACTAATTTCGCATGAAAACGAAATGGTCTTATTGATGTCAGACGAATTCATCAACATTAGAGGCCCTTACTGTTGATAAATTTCTTGCCGCGCATCACCCACTATCATTTCCTGTTTCCGAGACGCGTTTTTCGTCTGGCCCTGTTGGGAGGCTAGATGCTCAGAGTGGGAGATGTCCAATAGACATTACTTTATCTTTAAGCAGAAGGGTTTGATTGAAAATGTTTGAAGTGTTGTTGAGCAGGGCTCTTGAACTACTTTGATTGCCTGGATCGCTACCGTATACTCGGAACATTGGCTAGCATTCAGACCCGAACATATCTGTATGTGTGTGAGGGCGTCACAAGATCTCAGCCCGTATCCTTTCACCCATAGTTACTAAAGCTATGTGGCCACATTTTCATCCGAGGCAAGATGCGCAATGATGCAGATAGAATTCATTGATCGCACTGATTCTATTTATTGTTTGGAAATGCAGAGTTTCGCATTCAACCCAAAGTCGCCTACTTTCTGCTTGGCTTGGGTTGAGGAAACAACTCCACACAAATCCCATTGAAGCCTGGGCCAAGGGCACGAACTCGCTGCTTTACCTACTGTGGACCTCCACTGATCATTGAGAGTGAGCGCTGGGTTGAACGCAAACATACATAACGTGGTGTGATCTGATCTCAAGATGTTGCATTACAAGTTCATCATGTTGATCCGCCTCTTGAATTTTCTTTTAACCGTATGAAATGTACGGAACTGTTAAATGATCATCCTTTGATGTAGAGTGCTGTTTGCAGACGACCAAGTCGCTGCAACTGCTTTTTGTAGGCCTAGGGACGTCTAGGGATACCAAGATGGACTTGAAGCTTCCTGCGCACGAGCATTGCCGAGCGCCTAGCAATGGTATCTCCGTGGAGGGATCCCGGGCAGCAACTGCCAGAGGCATGTTGCGCACGAAGAGCAAGGTTGGTTTGGTATAGTTGCTATACCCTAACCTTTCTTGATCTGCTTGGTGACCGATTCGGGTTGGTTTGGTATAGTTGGTATACTCGAACATTTCTTGATCTGCTTGGTGACCGATTCGGGTTGGTTTGGTATAGTTGGTAAACTCGAACATTTCTTGATCTGCTTGGCGACCGATTCGGGTTGGTTTGGTTTAGTTGCTATACCCTAACAATTCTTGATCTGCTTGGTGACCGATTCGGGTTGGTTTGGTTTAGTTGCTATACCCTAACAATTCTTGATCTGCTTGGTGACCGATTCGGGTTGGTTTGGTTTAGTTGCTATACCCTAACTTTCTTGACCTGCTTGGTGACCGATTCGGGTTGGTTTGGTATAGTTGCTATACCCTAACCTTTCTTGATCTGCTTGGTGACCGATTCGGGTTGGTTTGGTATAGTTGGTATACTCGAACATTTCTTGATCTGCTTGGTGACCGATTCGGGTTGGTTTGGTATAGTTGGTATACTCGAACATGTCTTGATCCGTTTGGTGACCGATTCTCGGTGTCCGATTCTGGTGTCCGATTCTACTATCCTGGTGTCCGATCCTGAGAATCCGGTGACCGATTCAGATGATATACTGGTGTCCGATTCTTAGTTCCCGATTCGGATATCCTGGTGACCGATCCTGGTGACCGATTCGGACGCCGCCCCCTCCTCGTGCAGTGGAGACTGTAGTCGCATTGGAGAACATGGAACTATCCATGGGGAAGTGTTCATGCTGGTATCTTCCATAGATGACCAGCTTAGAATAGGACATGCCATGGATTTATCACGATTTACTGCACCCATGATAGGTTTCAGCGCCCATCCGCTGGGGATGACACTGTCATGATGGTCATTGCATGTAGAATTTCACTCTTCGATTCATCGGAAAGAGTTGGTGAAGGGCTCTTCGATTCAGCCAGGCTTACACCGCATGGTGCAAGTCCTGCGGAGGTGAAGGGGACCTCTATCGAGGATATTGCCCAAGTTGTTGGGAAAAGTGGGAGGCGTGAGACGGGACGGGGCCCTCCGTTTTGGCGGAGCGAACGTTGTTCTCACACTGTTGAACCATATGAAAAAAGGATAAAAAAGGAATGTACTTTGTGCTTGCCCTGAACCACTAGCATTTTCTGTTTTTTTTTCCCTAGTGATCAAACAGCCGCAGACTAGTGACTAGAGCCTCATGTCAAAACCATTCTTGCACTGGGCACAGATGAAGACTCGAAACCCAAACGACCAGCAACATGTCAACATGCTGTTGTGCAGCAATGCCAATGTGTGGGCATCGTTGCATCCCAAATTTTCTGGCACTTTCGTGACCAGGCTTCCAATGGTGGCAACCATCGATGGCGTATCGAGAGGTGTCGGATTGGCCAGATCTTGTTCTCGCACGCGAAGAGTGCAGCCAATTGACAAAAGTGACAGAGCTTCAAATTCCAACTTGTGACCTTCACCTTCAGTTGCTACCCATACAAAAGGGACACCCACGGATATAAGTTTCCCAGTTCTTAGGGTCAAATAACTTGTCTTCTTTCGTATGGCACAAACTACTACCAATTCTTGAAACTATCACTGGACACACCATCAATTTGAATATACCGAAGCCGGAGGCCACCATCGCAGACACCTTCACTGATGGCACCCCTCTGCAAGACACTGTAGACTTGCTGCTGGCGAATCCATGGGTGATCGAGAAGATTCCCTACATCAACGTCGTTGATGATCCTTGAGCTGTCTTCAGGTATAAATATTGCATACTATTGCAAGATAATTTGGGAATGGGGATGTTGATAGGATATTGTTGCTGTATAACCAACTTGATACTGGTTGGTGGTTTGGATCATTTTTTTTCCATATATTGGGAATAATAATCCCAACTGACCAATATTTTTCATAGGGGTTGAAACCACCAACCAGTGATATGATATGTGGGGTTGTCTGAAAATGGAAATATTTATAGCGATATTGAGAGGATATAAGTAAGTAACCACAATCCTTTGATACATGATATATTTTTCGGATAAGATGGAGATGTTTAAGAATGTTCAGGGGCGAAACTAACCAAATTCATATTTAGGGTCAGGTACCTTCTGGTAATCAAATATGAGTTGCTGGAAGCTACCCCACTTTATCAATACAAGTAGTGGAGATTTTGGCATTTCTCATTGCCAGGTTAGGCTGCCAGAGGGTATACGATATATGATATATGCCTGAAAATGAGGCACTGCCCCCAAGTCGCCATATGATAAGGGGAATGTTGTCAGTATGCAGTCCGTGATTTTACGGGTATAGCCGGTTTTGGACGAAGCCATTGTTTCGCTTTTGGCCGCAAGAAGGACCGACCACACACTTGGAGGATTGGTGTTTCAGAATCCCTCAGCCAGGACGGGGATCGGCACATCAGCATGGACAACAGAAGGCTCTATGCTTTTCGCATGGCCTTTGACGACGACAACTACGAGGTGGCTTGACTCCAAGTGCAGGTTTCAAGGAAGAGAGAATAGGGTGCACACAACATCTAAGAGCCAATGATTTATCATCATCGTGCTCCCAAATCAAATTGCTCTAACTTGGGGTATAGCCCATTTTGAAGAAACCACACAAAGCCAATTTGGGTCTGCTCGAGGTGCCAATCAAAAGATTTGCAAGCAAAGAAGACTACGGAGCAGCTGACTTTCATCGCAAAGCCACATCCGTTTGTGGTGGGCATTCAGTGGAACTGCGGCATCATCACACAGTTGCGCCTCATATAGAGACCTTGAATCCACCACGCACTGCCAAACGATTCTTGCTGCAGAAATGGAAGGAGTTTCGCAGTTCCGTTGGGGCTGTCCTGTCTTTGCAAGATGGCCAAGTGGTGATTTCCGGGTCCCAACGGCAGGCAGGGGCCAAGAATATGCGGGTTGCTGCTAATATTCGGTATGCCCAGTTGTTAGCAAGCTGATTGGCTTGCTTCGTTCTTTAAACTCTGAACATAAATGCCAACTGCCATGCCTCAAATTGTTCCTGGCCCGTGGGGTCCTAATTTGTGCCTGCAAATTCAGATGAACCACATGATGAACCCAGTTCCAGTACATAAATCAATGCATAACCACTGCTTTTTGAAGGTGGAAGATGGGATCAAGCACTATCAGCGGATCTTGTCCACATTCCACTGCGAAGCAGTCGACCTGAAAGATGTTCGAGCTAAGGTGCGGTGTTTCATGCCTTTTTCGAAACGCAAGGCATCCGTTGTCCACAACTTCCCCACATGACTTGCGCGGTGAATCAAAGGCGGTTTTGCAACGTTTCCCTACTTTTGCCATGAATTAGTTGCTTGAACCTTGTGATAATTTGAAAAGGATTCCGTTCCTACTGCTGAAAAAACCAAACAACACGATTCTTTCAGGTGGGAAGACCTTGATTTTTCTGCCATGCTGGCAGGATGCGGTACGAAGCAGTTTTCAGCGGTGGCAAGCTGAATCCAACTACTCAACAGTTGACATTAGCTTTGACAATGAGTGGTCAGAATCAGGCAGGGTCAGCGCTACTCCTTGGGCATTTTGAGTGCGGATGTGTTCCAGCTGTTCTTGGTCAACTTGAGTCAACATGGTGGTTGCTCCAAGCTGTTTTAGGATGATAGCCACAAGGGTGGACAGATTGGTAAGCCACGGTGCAGGAGAGCTGCCGTTGCACCTGGGTGGCGATGCCGAAGAAGTCGCTGAAGTGAAAGGTTTGGTGATGGATTTGGTGAATGCCGTAGCCCGCTGCTGGGAAGCTCTACCCCTACCGCCTCACATGGGAGGCAAGGGATGGGCAGGGTTTGTTCTTGCGGGTTATGGTAGCACAACATGGTTGAAGGTAGATTGTATCTGTCAAGCCATCTGCGAATCCTGCAAGTAGGTTTGAGGATTGCTGGTGGTAAACTGGGTGACCTTCCTGATTTATATACGTACAGTTTCTGTGTGCCTTCACACTGATGCCTCGACGCGCATAGAAGCTCTTAGGGACACATGCAATGCCTTGTGGCTCCATAGTTCAATGCAAAGGTGGGTAAATCGGAAACCGTTGCAAACCTTGTTCTACATCATACATGCCAGCAATCAGATACTGCCACAGAGACTTGCATTGAAAGCAGCTGCCAGTTCCGTCCCAGAGACCAAGAATGGCGTAATCCGTATGATGTTTGTAGCAGGGCATTGCGGGTCTCTTTTCGGGGAAGCCCATGGCGAGACCCCAGGCTACTTCTCCAGAACGCTCTCTGGCAAGCTGCCCGGAAAGTTTGCAGTTGAGGATGACATCTTGCACATCAGGGGAAATGCAGCGGAGTAACTCTTCGGCAGTTTGGCTGGGTTTAGCTCAACTATTATTTGCCCGAAGCATTGGGGGCTTTTTACCCTAAACTGGCCAAGTTTTTTGGCCGGTTGGTTGGTGCTTATTTATTAAGCCACAGCAAGGCATTGTTGATGTTTGACGTTGCAGACTCAGACTCTGACAGCCCTGGCAAAGTCACGTCTCGCTGGTTATCCGGTTAGTGACATCCAGCAGCGCTGTTTGCCCTAAGGCGGGAAAAGATGAAGAAAGCATTGGAAGATTTGCTGCCAACCGTTCTTTCCAAGCAGTTGCAGGCCAGATCCGGTGAACTGTTTCGACTGCTGGATTTGGAATAGTGCTCAGTGTATGCATGTGCAAAACGAGAGACGTCTCAGCCCTGGGTGCGGGTCGCAGCTTAGGCTTGGTTCTTCAAACCCAGCAACATCTAGTCAGCCTATCAAACCAATGATAGATCTGCTGAGACATTTTGCGCCTGTGTGCTTCCAGTATGTTGCAGGTTGACGATGGGCGCCTTCGTTCTATGATCATTGGAAAAGAAGGAGTCAACATCAAGCGACTCCGCCAGAACACTTCTGTTGATGTCCACGTCGGAGACTTGGAACTGACTCTGAAGGGTGTGCTATAAAAGCCAATTCAAGCCTGGCAGGGAACCTTTCTAACAATCATTTTACATCATTTTACTCTGCTTTGCTTGCAAAACATGGACATTTCTAGAGGAGTACCGCATAGACAAGCGATATTTTGTGGCTCATCGCTCTAGACTAGACTCATCTTGAAACACAGTTTTAGTGTCGGACAGAACTAGCCGTGCAGGGAGCATCAGGGAGCTATTCACGGGAAAGGGGGAGAATTTTAAGCTCACATTTTGTATCATTTTGCAGCAAATTCCTGAAGGACAGGTGAGCTGCAGGCTCTTAGAAAGTTAGAAACTTGGCACTTTCCAGCATCAGCCCTTGAAGCCCCACAATGCGCTGCGCCAAGGAAAAGATCCGGATACGACCGTGAGGATTGCTGGACCCACTGCTGATGTGGAGCTTGTCTACTCCAGGCTGAAGGCTTCATACAGGAGCAGTGAAGCATACCATCTACAGCATCAAGAGATGAAAGCGGGAAAGCGACCATTAAACCCACAGATACCTACAGATACCTACAGTATCCTACAGTAACGCCCAACAACGAATGGACAAGATAGAAAAGTAATTTCCTTCTCCGTCTTGTATAGCTGCTTATATAGCTGCTTAGGCTTACTTCTCTTGAGGAAAGACCCTTCTGTGACTGGTGAGACACCAGCTGTTGCGAGCTGTCGCGAGGAGCATCGACAAATCACCAAGGAGCTGCGACTTCTTCCCCACGCAGGGCGTTTCATGTGGCGCCGGCTGAAGGCCATTGGCTGCGAGGCCGAGGCGGGCGATAAGTGATTGGAGATGACTGGGAGAATCTTGGGGAAGGGGAGAGGGAATGGAATGTCAATGGCATATTGATAGACTATCAATCTCTAGATATGCATATATAATTGGGACGTTTAATATCGTTTAATGGGGATATTCAACGGGAAATCCAACGGAATATTCGCGGAATCTTGGTTCATTTGGTGTCATCAAACATGGCTAGCTGGGAATTCATGCTTTCAATAGTGCTTCGATGCGAAATTCATCGAACTATAGCTAGGGTATTTTTCAGCAAGCCATGTTTCAGGACGGAGGGTACACTTGATGAGTGTCACAGCACTCTGACTGTGAAAATGATGGGTTTCATAATGTTTCGTAGACCTTTTTCATTCTCTAGATGGACTGATCAGTTTTGGATTGTCACATTGATCACCAATGCCAGGGCAGTTGGAAACGAGTTGGGCAAGAGTGGAGATGGTATTAAACTCTGATCCTGGTGGATGATTAGGTGAGAGGTTGAGCTGATCGCATCACAGGTTTCCAGTCCCAAGGAACAACTTCTAGTTTCCCAAATTGCTTGTTTTATAGCCCCATTTGCATTCGCTGCTATCATGCTGACTTTTTTGTCACGGCGAACGTGCCTTCTGCTGCCCTGCGGAGGCATTCTTGAGGATCCCTCGCGAGGCAGAGAACCTCGTTGAAATTCGTGGAAATCAACGACAAGTTGACCATGCCGAAGAGCTTCTCCAAGAAGCTCTTTACCTCGACTTTTCCTTGATCAAGTTACGGATCAGCAAGCGCCTGAAGAGTGACGTGCTTCTGGGTAAGAACGGTGTGCACATCAAAGACATCAAGGGCGAGCGAGATGTGGAGATTCAGTTTGAGGACTCCACAGATGAGAGCTCCATGCAAGACTGTGTCGTTTCTGGCCAGCCAGACGATTGCAAAAGCGTCCTTGATGAGATGTTGAGGAGACTTGGCGGACGCTTGGCCTGCAGCTGGCCATGGATTTAGGGGGGGTTGAAATGTTCTAATGCTAAGAATGACCAACTCAGTGTGTCCATGGAGTCCATGGTTACACCACTTTTGAGCCTCAGTGAGTCCCAACTGAGGATACGAAGTTGTGTCTATGCCTGTCGATTCAAGAACGGCTGGGCTGATTATTGGAAAAGGCAGCGCTGGACAAACGTCCTGTTTGCCGATGTTTGAATAATCCAATCTGGGTCTAGATTCAAGGCCCAGGCAGACCACATACATGTTATTGTCATGTTTTAGGCGGACCAAATCATTTTTGTTTTTGGGACCAAAGTTTGAGCACGAGAGATCATCCCGTGCACATCATATTTACGTACAGTTACGTACATCTTATATCCCGTGCACACCCCTCCCTTCGCCTGATATTGACATCTACACACAGACACAACAAATCTGCCTCAGATTCAGATGTGTGTATGTGTGGGTGTTTGTCAAGAGTAATGTTTATTTCAGATATACCGCAGATAAGTATGACATTTATGGTTTCTTTCATGTAATAACATGTCTTAGATTCTTTGTGAACTTATCAACTTACACAGTTGTTTCCGGTTTTGGTTTGATCAAAGTCTTAGGCCCCAGTGGATGTTTGGACATTGGAGTCACCAAGGAATCCGGTGGATAGTCATGGCGCAGGCTACAGTAGAGGTAGGCCTACTGTAGTGGACTCATGAGTATCCTGACGTGATGAAGTGGCACTATCCTATATGTCATCATCGCAACGAGTGGCGCAACGGCGCAACAACTCCAAGTTTGGTGGCCCACCTACACCAGTAACATCTAACGGCGCATGCTCCTGTGGAATCAGAGGGGGGACCAACAAATGATTGGCATAGGATTGGCGAATAGAAATCCAGCAAAGGAAGCACTGAGGACCTTTGGCAGAACCACTTGAAGCGCTGAAATTGGGGATCATTTTTCAATAGGGTTGACACACACACACACATTTAATGTTTGAAACCACCAGTGAAGCGCGTTGTATTCATTCATGTTCTGCTCTTGAAGCTGCCTTTTCCGTCCGATATTCTTTTCAAGCCTCAGTTGCGAATGCAATTGAAACCATGCAGCTGCAAGAGCGAGGAGTTCAGAACTGTATCAGAACAGAATATTTGGTTTTTGTCACTGGATTCAAGAAGTCGAAGGAGAACTCAAGGACTCCTAAAACTCGACGAATTTGTTGATTTGCTGTGGCCATGCAAACACAACCATCGTATATCCCCTACGTATGCATAATATGCATGAATCCCAAAGAAAAGGCACATCCCTTTTTCCACCTTCCCTACATGGCCAACATCTGCATCTCTCGGTCACCAAATCTCGGACGCCCCCCGTTCCGCAGCCGCAGCTGGGTGCCATGGCGAAGGCGAAGCTGGCGAAGCTGGGGAAGCTGGGGAAACTGGACGCTGCTCACCTCAAAGAGGACCGAAACTGGCAGTGGCACTCCTCATTCCCGGTACCACAACTGATGGTTGACATTGGGGTTATCATTCGCTGCTTAGGTTATTTCAGATTTGTGAAAGCAATGAAGGGATTGTTGATGAAATGTTTGTGGGAATTGTTTGTGTATTTGGGAATGCATCTCAAACCTAAATTTGGAGATGTACAGTGATTTTTTGTGGTGATTTAATTTAATCATGGATTGGTTAGGGGGTGTTGTAAAAATGGGGGATGCCCCAAGTTCTTGCCATTTTGGGACAACTTTGTCACGAAAGCTAGCTTCTGCTAGCTGAAGTCCCTCTTGCATCTCTTGCTTTAGCAAGTATGGGGGGAGCTGGAATCTCACATCGCATGAAACTCCCACCTTATTTCTCTTGTTCTTTGGGTCCTATGGCCGGAAGATCCCATGTGCACAATGTTGGTGGAAGGTCGGCTCCGTGGGTTTGTTGTTAAAAAAAAACTCCGTACTTACTATGATTTAACTACCCCCCCTCCGAGCCTCCCCCCCTGGCTGGTTCACAAGCAGTTTGGCCGTGGCTCAATCCCCCACGGGGACACCATTGGCATGTCGCCGGCAGCAAAAACGGCAGCATCTGCATCAGCATCATGTTTTCGTGCCAAGCTCCCTGCCAAGCTAGCTTTCGTCCCTTACCCCTGGGCCTCAAGTTCTTTAACCATGAGATAGAATAGGGTTTCCTATTTTCAGACAAACTTGTCCTGTCCTACAATGAACGGGGACGGGTTGGAGGAGCCAAAAATCACTTTTTCGAAAGGTATACAATAAAAGGACGTCTCAAGCAGAACCCCCAAAGTTGCGGATGAATTTAAAATCCCCACTTCACATCATCTCAAGCTCACATAGTCCGCACTTCACACCTTCTCAACTCTGCATAATCCCAACTTTCACACCATCCCAACTCCACAGCATCTCAACTTCATGCCATCTAAACTTCACAGCATCTCGTCTTCATGTCATGTCAACTTCACAGCAACTCAACTTCATGTAATCTAAACTTCACAGCATCTCAACTTCATGTCATGTAAACTTCACAGCATCTCAACTTCATGTCATGTAAACTTCACAGCATCTCAACTTCACAGCATCTCAACTTCATGTCATCTAAACTTCACAGCATCTCAAATTCATGTCATCTAAACTTCACAGCATCTCAACTTCATGTCATCTAAACTTCACAGCATCTCAACTTCATGTAATCTAAACTTCACAGCATCTCAATCTCACACACCCTCGACATCACGTCGTTTTATGTTTTCTTGCAACTCAGTGAGTCTTTGCGCGGTGAAAATGCTGCATCAAGGTGCGGCGGGCGCATTTTCATGGTCGACTTGTTGCTCGCAGTGGCTTAACCATTGCGTCAAGGTGATTTCGATCAGTGTTTTTAATTTTACTCTCGTGCTTTAGTGTTTTGCAAGTCATGGCTCTTTTTCGCTCAGTTGAACTGCCGCGTCCAGGTGACTTAGGTTGAAGTTTGCACTCTCGTGCTTTGTTTTTTTTGCCATCTCTTGGTGACTTTGCACAATGGAATTGCTGCGTTGAAGGGGCCTTGAGTGTATGCGTGTTCTGTCGTGCTACTTTGGGCAACTCTATGAGACTTTGCACAGTGGACATGTTGCATCAAGGTGCATTTTCAGAGGTAGAAGTTACGTGCAGTGCAACACTTTGTTTGTTCTTGTAAACGTGTTTAGGTGGTTGGTGGATGGTAGCGTCAGTTGCGCGGCAGTTGCGGTGGGCGTGTTTTCATGATCGAATTGTGTTCGCAGCCGCAGAACTAATGCGTCTTAAGGTCAGGAGGTGTGGAGGCAAGGCGCAGAGACAGGCGTGCAGAGAGGCTCTCTTTACAATATTGTCGCTTAAAAACATGGTTTCCAAAAACACAAAGAATGAAGATTGAACATTTCAAATCCAGCCAAAAGGGGGAACCTTACTCAAAACCAGTTTTTCAAACCCAAGCATGAATTAAATTGCATTTTTGAAGCCTCCGTTTTGAGCGGGTCAGGAATTCCCCCCATACCCCATTACCCCCACTCCCTCCACGGCAGCAATGGCTCAGGATTTGGAGGTCTGGAAAACTAGAAAAAATAACAATGCAAATAGAGTTTGAAAAAATGAAACTCAACCATATAAATACAGCCTTGTTTTCATTAGCGAATCTCCACACACCATGCCGGTGATACATGATTTTTTCATATTTTTCCCCTCGTTTTCTCCTGATGTTAATGGAGACATCGTGAAAGTAGCAGTGCATGTATTCATCACTATGATTCGACATCATCATCTCATCATTTGCGTTCTCCTGCTCCCCTACTCTTCCTCCTTTCCAAGATCATCATCAGCAGCAGTAGCAACATTGGTTTCATATTGATTCAGCATCTTCGTGAGCAAGGTGCATTTCTTTCAAAAAGAGATTTACGTATGCCTGCAACGATTTGTGTTTCAAACGATCATCTAGATGGGGGGGAGTGGAGTTTCGACGCCTTATGACTGCTCCACAGACAGGTGAAGAAGTCAGGGTTTGTTTCTACGTCTTCTTGGTTCGACCCACCCTAGGAATCGTTCCTTACCCTTTAGCCTCAAGTTTCTAGCGACCTGACAGGACCGCCTTCCAAAAATAGTGCGGAAATCATGTTCTCATGGCGCAACAAGAAAGGTTGTTCTTTTTAGAAGATAGAGATGAACTATGATTAACGGTTAAACAGAGAATAGCTGAGATTAGCCATTCAACTCCCCCACTTTTATGGGTTACATCCCCAGCTTCCCCTGAATGAGCGAGACATGGTCGTTTGCAGGACCTGATATTCATCTCCAGTTTGCTGAAGAGCAGGCTCAGCTGAAGCGTGACATCTTGACTGAAGCTCTCCAGACAGACTGTCAAGCAGAAGGGTTCATGGGTGGATAGGAAGGTTCATTGGGATACTAAACCTGAAGCAATGTGAACATTTCCCTGGCAGAATGTGCCAGTGACAGTTGTCAAATCCGTCATTGGACCATGTATTGTGTCCAAACACAGCTGTACTGTCAAGAAGTGGACAGTACAAACCATGCGAGTGATGACTGGCAAAGAAAATACAGAACTCCCAGTCCAAGAGGATGGTCTCTGTCTTTCTTGTGGAAGAAGGTGCAATTTTTGGGCTCTGACAAACCTGTCTTTCTCAACATGAAGGGTGTTTGAGTATTATGAGCAGTGAAGCCCAGAAGCAAAGGATGCTCATCCCAAACCTGCACAGTGACAAATGAGTGTTGCAAGTGTTCACTGCAAAAGCCTTCAAAGTGTCGAATTTGGATGAATTGGTACCAGTGAAATGGAAGGAAACTTCAATGGGAAATTATCTTGCTGCCCAAGTGCGAGCACCTGAAGTCCGGTCGACGTTTTCACAACAAAGTATCCTTCCGGTATGCTGTGCGGCTTGCTTTCCGGAAGGATTTCAACAAGCCTGTACGTGGGACCAGGTGCAATTTTTGGGCTGACATCAAGGGTGTTTGGCTATTCTTTCGTAGGAGCAGTGAAACCCAGAAGCAAAGGATGCTCATCCCAAATCTGCCAACAGCAACAAAGGAGCAGCGGTCCTGTTGCAAGTGTTTGATTCAAAGGCCTTCCAGATGCTTAATTTGGACTTTTACTTTCCCGTTGGTGTGATTTGGAGGTGAAAATCATGGCTCAGCAAAACAGATCAATAAAATCCCAGTCATCGAAACAGCTTTTCCAACGAAGACAACATCGATCG